CCATGGAGGGCTTCTCAGCATGGAATTCCTCATCCCAGAGCAATGTGATAGGATGGTGACATCACTGGGGGAAGGGAGTCTTCTCATCCCCCATAGGCAGTTTGGGGCTGCTCTGCATTCTCCTCTTGTTCTAACACTTCTCCTGGCCTTAACATCCTGTTGATCCCTAAGAAGATATGGGGCTCACAAGGAAGCAATACCAAAATAACCCTAACAGTCAGTACCTGACTACGGACCTGTGGACATTAAAGGGCACTGGCTGAGTGTGGGCTGAGAGTCCCTAGACATAACCTTTGTGCTTGGACAGATCCCATTCCAGAGGTGAGAGAGAATGAGGCCAATACACTGGTTCCTCTCTCTTTCTGAGGTCGTTTCTCAAGTACCTCCACTCCCTCCTTCCAGAGCTGGCCCCAGACCCAGCACAGAGAGCAGAGGCCACCCTCACCTTCCAACACACAGCGTGTATTGCTTTCCTTCTTGTAGAGTGTTCCCCCAGCCCCACTTTCCCTGTAGCCCCCGCCATCCTCTAAATCACAAATCATCACCATCTCCAAAACTCTAAGCTCTTTCCCACACCATGTCTCTGGGCCTCTAAGTCAGCAGGTGTATAGGATGGGGAGACCTCAGATAGGATGAGGCTCAGGAAAGAGCACAAGCCTATGGATGTCATGCCCTTGACTCTGGAAGTCCCAGGTATTTCAAAGAGCAACTTCTGCACTTGTGGTCTCCTTGTCTGTGCAGTTGGTAATCTTGAAGAAAAAGCGTTGCAGTCCCATGGTCCTCTCTTCTCAATCACCTTCCACCGACATGATGGAGGCAGGGAGTGTCTTCTCTCCTCAGAACACAGAGTTGTGGGCCTCTCCAAGACAACACTCAGACAACACTCAACACCACAATGATGCCCATCTCTTCTTCCCACCCTGCCCACCACTTTCATCCCCGCTGTGGACTCTGCTTCTAGGATTCACAGGTAAGCGGGCTCAGGTTTGAGGTAGGGACTCCCTCATGCTTGTTTCCTGTGTTCTCCTCACCTGTTTACCTAGAATTTCTTGGGGGAGAATTTCTCTGTCCTAGCCAGAATTTATAGAACTAGAGTGGAAGGGCTCCCAGCTCACAAATCTTCCAGTGTCCGTGTCTGTTCAACACCCTTTTGTTGACGGAATGGACACACCCCCATGGTCGCAGGTCTGGTCCAGCACACACATTACAGCTCTCTTCCTCTCCCCCTCTACCCAAACAAAGATTCTGTCTTTTTAATTTATTACCACCAAACAGATGCTACCTCTCAGTGGAGAAAAAGTGTTGGATAACATGATATTATGAAGGAAGAAAAGAATCCTCAATGTTTCCATCCAAACATAATCACTGTTAAAAATTAGCACAGGTTTACATGCTCATGGAACATTGGCTGGAAGTGGTCACTAAAGGTCTCTCTGGGCCAGTGATGGAAACTGAACCCTGCACGGTCTCCAGAGAACTAAACAGTCCTGCCTCTGCTTGCTGAAAAAGCTAAACAAGCACGTGGAGTCTCTTCCCCAAGGCCACTGGTCCATGTTGGCAGAGGCTCTGAGTCCCAGTTGCCAAAGCAGAAGGCTTGAGGGATTCAGATCAGATGAAAGAGGAAGCCAAGACCATTATCTGAGTAAGGAAGGAGGAAGAAACCTTAGATGATTTAGAAAAGAGTAAAAACTTTTGAGACACCCAGACCCATGGGAGCATGTCAGCAAACATTTACAGAAGAATTCATACCAATTTTGTACAGTATCTCCCAGAAAATAGAGGAGGAAACACTTCCCTACTCATTTGATGAGGGCATTATTACCTTGATAACAAAACCAGATAGACTGTATATTAAAAAGATACCTAGAAACCAATACCTCTCATGACTCTAAATGTAAGAATCCTCATAAAATTTTGTCAAATAGACTTTCACAATGTGTAGTTATATAACATGACTAAGAAGTATTTATTGTGGGTATGCAAAACTGTTTCACTGCTTAGCAATCAATTATTGTAATCTATCACATCAACAGGTTAAAAAAGAAAAATTGCGTTATCATATCAGTTGATGCAGAAAAAGCAAGTGAGAAATCTAAAACCTGTTCATGATGCAAACACTCAACAAACTAGACATAGCAGAGAATTTCCTCAATTTGATGAAGAACATCTACAAAAAAATCCCTGCAGCTATCATTATACTTCACGGCAAAAGACCAAGTTTTTTATTTTTCCTAAGATAAGGACTGAGGCAAAGATGTCCCTTCTCAGAACTCTTATTCAACATAGGACTAGAAATTGTAGGCGAGAGAAGGACAGGAAGAAAGGAAGGAAAGTGAAGGAATGGAAAGGAAAGGAATGTACATTGAAAA